ACTTGAAAGTAATATAAATGAATTTCTTTTTAAGGTATTTTATAATTTAGATGTTTCACTAATTGAGACTAGTCTTTCAAAATGACTGATGGCTTATCATGTAGTGTTTGCATTACCTCAATTCAATATTAATATTACTTCATCCAAGTGAGCAAGAATTGGGAAGACAAATGAGTTAGAGATTTATAGGACTCTTTATGTAAAATATATCACCTTTCAACCACAAAGACATTGTAAAGCTCTGGTAATAAATAAGAACAAAAAAGTTCTTTTATACCTGCACAGTGTCCTACTACTCCCTTGGTCTCAACAATAAAGAAGCAATGACAGGCCAGGGCAATTTCAAATTTATATTAAGGTCTTTTTATTTTCCCTTTGTTCCCCATGTGATACTACAAATCTGAATGTTTTCATTGTGAATTTTCTAGACCAAGTTAAATCAATCTTATTATCATTCTGTATTTTAGTACTCAATCATTGTTTCCTCAATTGTTGTGTGAAGCATTGGAGGTTCTAAAGAAAGGACACCAGTAAACTGAGATTTTGAAATTCCAACAATTATCCTCATTGTATTACTATTATGGTAATTTTTTCTTTTCAAAAATTTGCAGGACAAGTTCATAGAGCCAGAGATTAGTAGAGCTCGAAGGACTTTTAGAAATATAGTACAATATTCTATTTGTACAGATGAAAAAACTGAGATAGAGAGAGAAGCAATTTGCCCAAATTCATAAATATACTTTGGGACAGAGGTGGGATTTTAACCAAACAAGTTCTAACTTTCAAGTCAATGTTCTTTAAGATTAACTGGCTGTGTGTACATATTTCTATGGAATAGAAACCAGTACAATCACTGGCCCATTTCAGCTTTCAGAGCGAGTGTCTAGAAACTTATTGCCATTGCTTTCAGTTCAACCTTGGGTAAAAGGTTATCAGCATATATCTATGTCAACAGCTCTTTCAGAAGAATTAAGGATTTTTTAAAAAAATCCTTTCCTTTTTGTTACCACCTAGATTTTGAACCTGACCTAACTGCTATCTGAAATGTCTTTACCTCTTCAAGGCAAAATTCATTTTCATTCCATTTCTTGGAACCTAGCTTCAAATTCACACCTCCTAGAACTATTCTGAGACTAACATCAATCTCTGTTGATTGTTACCTTCTGCATTCTTGTTTTCAGTTTAAACTGTTACATTTGTTGTTCATTCAACAAAAGTGTTAAGCGCTTATTGTGGATATAATACTACTTTACTGAGAGAAATTTAAAGATAAGTGTAAAATGGACCCTGCCTTCAAGGAATTTTCATCTAAATAGAAGCAAACATCTACACAAAAAAGTCCAAATAATCAATTGTATGCATATGTATCAGATGAGTATGACATGCTATAAAATTAGACAAAGTCACTTCAAACTGGGTAATTAAAAAAGATTTCCTGCAGGAGGTAGACTTTGAGCTAGGCCTTGAAGAAGAGGTAGTATAACAGTAGGTGAGAATATAATTCTCAGAATTTCAGGAAATTCAGAAGGACACTCTAGCACTTATGGAACTGCATGAGCAAATGTACAGGGATAGAAAGCAAATGAAACATGCGATTGTTTTCAAGTTGCTCCAAGTTTCTAACTTTGGAGTCTCTGAAAAATACAGAGGTAGGAGGGCATTCTCCATTTCTTTTATACCCCAACCTTATTGGTATTCTGTACATGAGGCAAGTTATACTTGGCTGGGTAGTCTGGGGTTATGGTGTTGTTTTTTTGTTTGTTTGTTTTGTTTTCTCCTATTGCATTACAGAACAAAAATCTTCTTCCAGTCTAAACTAGCATGGGCCCAGTTAGACAAGAAATAGGAGAGGTATAATTTGAATAACCAAATTGCAAAGCAATTGGTCTGTGGTGATTCCTGGAGGGTGACTGATTGATGTTGTGTCTCACCAGCCGGTTTACTTGCAGCTTATTCTGCTACTATCAGGCTTGTACACTGTTCATGATTTTGTAAAAAGCCAATCTTTCTCTCCGGAAAAGTTTGATTGTGTAAAAGGGAGAGAGAAGAAGCAACAGATGAATAGACACCACCACCCCTCCCCCCCATCTGCATTATAGATATAAAAAAAGGAATGTATGGATCGTGGACTATATGTGTCAATTAAAACTTTAAGGATCCCTTATATCTTGGGTGGGAGTGATTCTTCCCCTGACGTACATAGCAACTCCTTTATATTTTTATAGAGTTAATGTATTGCTCTGGCTTAAAAGAATTTATCATCTGGTGTCGAGACCTCCTAATAAACCTTTCTAACTACTGCTAGCTTGGTACTAAAGTAATATACCTGTGGTTTTCCTAGGACTAATATTAAAAGATTTTCCAACTCAGTAACACCTGCCAGAGCAAAACCTTCAAAAAGAACCCAGGGTTTTCCACTTTACAGTAAGGCCTCTAGAGAAGGACTTTAGTGGAGGCCTAGATACAAAAAAATTTTTCATAGATGGATCTTTAGAGGTAGGGAAGAAGCATATTGCAGATCCATATCCTATTATCATCAAAGGCATAGAGATGTGAATATTAACCTACCTATCTTTTTCTTATTTATGATTATCTAGTCTTTTAATTTTGTTGCTTTTAAATTTGTAAACACAAATTTTCTCACCTCCTGCCCCTTCCCACCTTTCCCACCCCAAGATCACAGATTGCTACTTCCTCTCTCCTTCCTCTTCTGCATTTGCACTGCCCTAGTGTGACCCACTGACCAAACAGAACGAGAGATGAAGTGAAAGGGGCCAATGGTAGCAGGGAAGTGGGTCATGAGTGTAGTTGGGATTTAGGAAGCCCTTAAGCAGGGTTAGTGCCCAGATCCATTTCAACAGATGATACTGTATGCATTCCCCCAGCACCTTGCACCCAACAGGGGCCCCAAGCTCATATCAAGGTACTTGCCCACTAGAAGCCCGGGTAAATCCTGGGCTCCCTCACACTACAGAACTAGGGAGCTTTTTTTTTCTTTTTCTTTTTTTGGTGGGGTGGGGAGAGGGTGGAGATCGGCAGAAGCCGGAAGGGAAGAATCAGATGACAGATAACTAAGTGTCTGGTGGCAGACCGTGAGCTGCATGCATGACTGAGGAACTGGTCTCGTTCACCAAACACTTGACTGGGCTGGGGCATCGTCCAAAAAGGGGACAGGAATGGAAAGGAAGGGGAAAGTTCCCAAAGAAAACCTCAGGAGAGTCACTTCGGTTTTCATGGCTCAGGAGAAACACTTACCACTATGCTTTTGCTCATTCTTGGGGTCAAGAGCCACCTCCCACCTCTCACCCAGTCTGTATGTGTATTTGTGCCCCTCCTCCTAATGCAAATGAAGGATGTATTTTATTACTTGAAGAATCAACATAGCTCTCCCTCCCAGGTATCCAGGAACTCCAGGGGACAGTTGGAGCAGAGCCAACCCCAGCCCATGGGGCAGTGAGCAACTGGGGTCCAAAAGGGACTTTCGAGGAGGAAGAGGGGGGTAGTAATGAAGGAGGAGAAGGAAGAGGCGACATTATCTGTCAAGGGAGTTCCCCCCTTTGTCTTCTCCTGTACTCAATTCCCCCCATCCCCATTTTTGCCTTCCTCCTTTGCCCTTTTCTCTGGGAATCTCTTTGTATCTTGTCTCTGCGGGTCTCAGTGCCATCCTGCACAGTCCCCGTTTTGTGGCTACAGGGATCTACCGCGAAGCCTTGCCTGCCACCCCTGCATCGCTACTCTACATTTGGAAAGGGGTGGGTGGAAGGGGTTCGGGTCCCATAGTATGTCAAGAGAGGGGGAGGGGGTCCAGAGTGAATCTGGGAACCAACGAAGAGAAGACAAGGAGGGGAGGGGAATGAAGGCTGTGTGTGCGCGCAGGTGTGCGTGTATGTGCGCGCGCGTGTGTATGTCTAGGACAAGTCCAGCTGAAGAACTTACCTCTTCAACCTCCACTATTTTTCCCTCTCATCCCAACCATCCCTGCTCCCTTTAAGGTTTATATCTCCCTCCTCCTTAGTCCCTTTATATCACTACCCACCCATTCCACTCCCCACCCAGGTAACTGCCATTCCCACCCTTGCCAGTCACACCGATGTATGTACTGAAAGGCAAAATTAGTTAGAAATACGGGCAAAAACGCAGTGGCTTTTCAAATTGCCTCTCCCTTTTCCGTATTTTCCTGCTATAAATAACCCCGAAAAGCCGTCCAGGCGCGTCACATGGTGAGAAGCCAGGACCCCGAAGCTCCTATTTCTAAGTGTATGGGGTAAAAGAAAAAGAAATAAATATCCTGCTAGAAGGAGAGAGAAAGAGAAATCTATCTTCACCTCTGCTCCTAGAAACTATCATTTTTTCCTCCTCTCTTCTTTTTGCATGAGATATCTAGCCGGTTTCCCAGCGTCCACCCTTCTCGTTTTCTCCTTCCCCCTTTTCTACTACCTTCCTTCCTCCCTCCCTCCTGTCTCCTCCGCCCTTATCCCACACCCTAGGTACCCCTCGTTTGCCAGGTAGGGGATGCTGTTTCCAGAAAAAGAAAAAAAAAGTTGAAACTCTCTTCCCGCCCTCCTGCAACACCCTCCCCCTCCCTGCTCTGTCAAGCCATATGTAGGCACTGCACCCTCTGGCTCAAAGATTCCCCTATCCTCTCTTTTAACTCTCCCCACAACAGCTCTTCCCTCCTTTCCTAATCCTGTTCTGCACATTAAAAAAAAAAAAAAAGAAAGAAAGAAAGAGAAAGAAAAAACCCCCAGCCTCATAGGCAAACTGAAAAACTGCCTTATCCCGTAACTCCCGAAACTCACCAGACGTTGTAGTTTATATTACCCTAATTCGAGGACAACAATCAAAATTTACTCTTGATTCTCCAGTGGTGTGACTTTAAAAAATAATAATAATACATTTCCTTCTTCCCCTTTAATTCTTTTTTTTTTTTTAACAAGGAAATTTGCTCTATCTCCAGCAGCCACCGCTGCTCCTTTGATGTTTTGGTACGCCGTGCGCATGCGCCTCACATTAGAATTACTGCACTGGCCAGAATAAGTTGGATCTCTTCTTCTCTTCAGTGAAACCCTAAATCATATCAAAAGCTAAAGGGATGTGGAGAGTCCGGAAAAAGGGCTACTTTGGAATTTGGACATTCCTTTTAATAGTAGCTGTGGTCTGTGCACAGAGGTAAGTGATCCCTTTCTTTTTACCTCTTCACTTTGTATCACTGTCTATGCCAGTTAACAGGAATGTGTAGTGTGGATCTGATCTTGAGAAACCTGTGCATGGTGGCTTATCTATTTCCTCTTATTGTTATTTTTTAGTGCCAATGACCCTAGCAATATGTCACTGGTTAAAGAGACGGTGGATAGACTGCTGAAAGGCTATGACATTCGTCTAAGGCCAGATTTTGGAGGTAATTCAGTTGTCTTGCAAATAAGATATTTTAGTTGCTATTCCCAAGCTCTTTCTGCAGTTTTGCTTTTCTTCTCTCTCTCTCTTAATATCGCTGTTTTATTTTGTTATTGTTTTTGGTTGCTTGCTGTTCTCTGTGTCACTATATTTTCAGTCTGGTCCAAAGTTCCTTAATTTCCTTAGCACAGGACAGTCTTGCTGTGATCCTTGAATACTACTGAATTTTTGTAACTGGTCACTCATGTTTTTTTTTTCCCTTATCCGATTTCATATACTAGTATTTATTGGCATTATTAACATGTAAGTCTTGTAAGTTTGTTTTGTTTGAGTCCAAAGTATAAATATATCCTGGGATACAGTAAGCATTCTTAAGGGCAAGATGTGCTGACAAACGATTAGAAGATGGTATTTAACCCCCTGTGCCTGCCTACTTTTGAAGAGTTTTACTTGCCCATTTCTTTAGGCATTGATCTTTCCATTTTTGTCCTTAAAGCCTGACTTACTCATTTTACTGTCCCCTCAACCTTTCCTCCCAGTTCAGTGAGCAGCCCCTTCCCCTCAAAAAAACAAACCAAAACAAAAAACCTCTATAGCCATCATCTTGATTCCTAAAGGAAAGGTGCAAACTCAGCATTGCTTCTGACTTGTATGGGACAGAAACAGTTAAAATATGCTTGCAGGGGGAGAGGGGAGAGAGGGAAAGAAAGAGGAGGAGGAAGAAGTGGTGGTAATGGTGATATTCAAGGCAATATATTAACCTACCAGTTTAGACAGTTTGTGTATGTATATATTCATATCCTGGTGTGACCACACGTGTAGACATATCTGGAACCTGTCATCCATTCCTAACACGTGTGTGCATGTTATATAAAGAATTCCTAGAGGGAAGCCCCCAAGGCTCAGGCAACTGAAGAATCTTCACTGTTGCAATTTAACATGGAGGACTCAGGGATAGAGATTTGGGGGTTGGGAAGGGAAAAGAGGGAGAGGATTGTGCTGAGATTGTGCTAAGTGAAGAGATAACTTCCTAAGAATGAATTAAGTTCTTAGAGATCACAGTGCTTGCCATCTCCTTGGTTTTCAGGTCCTCCTGTGGCTGTGGGCATGAATATAGACATAGCCAGCATAGATATGGTATCAGAAGTCAATATGGTGAGTATTTAGTTTTGTCTGTCTTCTTTCTCCCTCCGGAAGCGTCTGATGTTACTGATTATCTGGGGGTGGGGAAAGGGATGGGGGGGGGTTGTGCTGTGGGGGAAACAAGGAGGAAGTCATATTTCTCCTTGGAACCCTCTGTGCAGAAAATGAAAACTCCCAGGTAAAAGAGTCAGCTCTCTTTTACCAAATGTCCCTCCCCCCATTTCTGGATGAAGCTTCTTTTAAAGCTATACCAGACAATTGTTATAAAGGAGAGTGAAAACACACACGCAGAAAACATATGCACAGCCACTCATACAAAACGCATATGTTGTTCTCCAGTGGCTTGACTACCTGGGGTTCAGGGGGAGATGTTCTCAAAGTCTCTCTTGGCATTGGGAAGGGAGAGGATGGCATTTAACCAAAATAAACCCAAACCAAACCGGGCAGCAAACCTTTGAATTTATCGGGATCCTAATGCTCTTAGGACACAGGAATGCCTCTTGGTACCATTTTCTCACACTTTGATTTCCTGTGATACCTGCTCTGCTACTTCCATACACACCCCACCCCCATAATCATCAAGCTTGAGTATCCTGGTGTCAGAGGCAAGCGCTGAACTATATGCCTTCTCCATTTATTTCTGCATCATGACTCACCTCCAGAGCTTGTAGATTTATTGAGTGTCGTACTATTTAGTAGGTACCCCTTCAGACATACAGGAAGCTCCATTGAAAGCCTTGGCAGTCTGGACCCAAGGAGCCCTGTTGGGGTTTTTTACTTCGTGCAAGAGTGCCCCCTGCTGCCCACGATGGAACACTGCTGCCATGTATTATAAATAACATTGTCCCAGATCTAAGATGAAGGAGGGGGCGGGTGCGGGGGGTGGGGGGGCGTAGGGGGAAGGGGGAGGAAGGGGAAGGTTTGATTTCCTCTTGTGGTTCCTTACTCTGGAAAATCACAGGTATTTCAGCTATGGAAGCCACATTTAAACACTAGATACTTAAATGAGTCCCATTCCCAAAAGCCCACCTAGAAATTGAGTTTTATGACATGGAAGGATTTTGTGGGCAGAATAGAGGTGGCTGAAAGAGTGCATGATCCTTATTTCCAAATTGGTTTAACCACATAAACAGCAAGAAGGCTTGGAATGCTTAGATAATTATTTTAATAATATCAACCAGTTGAGCCAAAGGCTTTGGCATCAGGCAGTCTTCTACCCCTAAGAAAATAACAACAACAAAAATAGCTGGCATTTACATAGTTTTATGGTTTGCCAAGTATATTATCATATATTGTATAATTTAAAAGACCTATGTTCTTGTGAACTCAAAATATAGTACATCACCTCTTCCCCAAGCAAGAAAGCATACAAGTAAGAAACTGGGGGGGGGGGGGGGGGGGGGAATCAGGAAACAGCCAGAATTTATCTTACATATCATATTACAATTATAATAAACAAAATGCCTTTTGAATCGTGAAGGGAAAATGAAATGAGCATTTCAGTTGTTAAGATGTGTAGTTAATTATACATTAATTCTATCAAAATTGGTAATCCTTATATGCCAACTCTCAACTAAACAGACTATTTGCTTAAACAGAATAACAAGTTCCTCAGACATTCTGGAGTTTGCTGAATGTGGGCAGAAAAGTGGCATTTCCTTAGGGAACTGAATTTATTTCCTATGGGAATTCTTTAGTTTAAAAAAATACTCTACTTTAGATTTCACTGAACAAATAAAAACTTTTCTAGTGTGGGTGTTCTCTCAGGCTGAACAACTTTAAATCATAAACTATTAGGTGAACAGGATTACTCAGAGGGAAGTGACATGAGAAAGAAGTGTGTTTATATATCTATGTGTGTGTGTGTGCATGTATATATGCATATGCATACATATATGACATGTATATATACACACATATGTGTGCTCACACACAGTCATGTAGCTGAAGCCAGAGCAGTATTTCGGAACTTCTTAAAGTTTAAGATTTCTTTTTCAAATTTGCCTTACAAGAACTTAAAAAATTCCAGATAGATCTCTGGATGATTTTGTCATGGAATTAAAATTTAAGCCTACAAAGGAACATCAATGAACTAAACTGAGGCAACAATAAGGGATTATAACAGAACCTCAATGAAAAATACACTGACTTTAATTCAGAATATAGAGTCTCCAAATTTTTAGTTTTAATTTATTTCACTTCACTTTATATTCATTTACCTGGTGAATTTGTGATGACCACAATACAGAGATATTCTAGTCAAACTTTGCAGTCAGCTAAGGTGAGATGTCATTTCTTGACCTATTTACTGTGGCTGAAAAATCATGGGATTTTAAAGGTGTGAGAATAAATATCAGCTTGTAAATGAGACAATATTTATTATTTTTAAAAGTGTTAGGCTAGTGGTTTTTCTTGTTCTGAGGTTAATATTACACTACTGTCAAGTAGAAATTAACATTTAATTTTGGTTGGTAATTTAGTAGCCAAAAATTGACTGCTACATTTGGTTGTTGTTGTTTAGTTGTGTCTGACTCTTTGTGACCTCATTTTGGGTCTTTTTGGTAAAGACACTAGAGTGGTTTGCCATGTTCTTCTCCAGCTCTTTTTACAGATGAGGAAACTGAGGCAAATAGGATTAAATTACTTGCATAGCGTTACACAGCTACTAGATGTCTGAAAACAGATTTGAACTCAGGAAGATTATTCTTCCTGACTTCAGGCCTAGCCCTTTGTCCATGAGCTGATCAACTTTGGAGTGTTTCTTAATTACAAAACAATAGAATAATAATCCCCCCCCCCCCCCCCCGCCCCAGCCTGCTCTGATAAAGGGTGCTTTTGAAATGAGGGGAGAGTATTTTTCTTGAATTGGGAAAGTATTTGTGTCATTCTTTTCTGAATCTAAAGTGTTCTGTATCATTGTTTGACTAATTTCTCAAAGAATGGCACATTAGTCCTTCAAGAAAGATCTCCTAACAATAGGATGCATTCTCCTTTCAAGGCTGTAACTTTTGGTTACTGCTTCTGTCTCCTTGTGAACCATCTTAAATATCAACAATTGAAAATCATGAACATTAAATAATTTTAATTTTCCTTGAATCATCTGTTTGAAAAAAAGAAATTATGTAGAAAAGGCCCTGGATTAGGATGTTAGAGGCCTGGTTTCTACATCAGGCTTTACCTATAACTCATCATATATAACTTTGGGCAAGGCAGGTTTCCCATCTGGCCCTCAGTTTCCTCACCTGCAGTGTTGGACAAAACCCCCTTGGTTCCTCCTCAGATTAAACATTCTACGGTT